ATGCTGATAAATGACTGAGAATGAAACAGAATAATACTGAGTCTGCTTGCTACACAGCTGCTGCTATCGATTTTGCCTAAAAAAGAGGTCGGCGTCACTAGCATTAACTTAATGAAAACGACGGTGTTAAAATTGGCCCCATCATGTAAACATAAGACCGACATTACAACCGTAAAATTTCCTCCTTTTTCATTCCATGAGCTAGAGCATTCCGTTTTATCACTAAACATGTTTCAAGAATCGGCGCCAATTATGCTTCACTATTAAAAATCAAAATACGGTTGAGTAAACTGGAGTATGCTAATACTAAAACCGAATTTCATAGCATACTGCCTTACCATTTCTCTTCGTCAGCAAGGGCGTCATTTAAGCAGAGCACAGCTCAGTGGCATTAACGCATTTGAAGTACGAAGAATTAGATCTTCTTGGTACAATACGAAGTATGAAAGCATTCGACGCATTATCAGCTCTTTCTCTCAACTGTTAGCTTACAACTGAAAGTGGTTGGTTAAGGAAATTGCTGAGAGACGTACCTAAAACGAGCAGACTTTTTCACAAATAATTCTGTTCGGTAGGTCACTGATGCAGAGACAACATCGCGGCAGCATTCACAGAGGTCTGAACATTTGTTCTAATAGAATAACAGTACTCATACACGCCACTACAAAGTCTCCAAGCGCTTGTCACGAATCTTATTCATCAAATCCAAGCGGCGATGGGTGTGTACGCAATCAAATCGATGGGTCGAAGTTCAATTACAACAGTTGCAAGACGTATTCTTCCGATTATCTGTGAAGCTCAACAATGTTCAATGAGTTCATTCACGTACGTTTTGTGAAAGCCAACGAAATGGAAAACAAACAGAAGAACAGAGCAGAAAAGGAGAGAAAAAACAAAGGATGGAAAAAAACTTTAAAACTACGACCTTAGCAACTAACAAAAGCATACAAAACTAGTGATAAGATCATCGTTAGAGAAAATTTTGCGCTTCGTGCATCAAAAAAAGTAAAAGCAATAACAAGACAAAGAAAAGAACATTACCCAGCGTCGCATTACCCCTAACAGCTAGGTAACCGGGGAAGGCAGCGGCGGCGGCGGCAGCTGCAGCAGCAGCAGCGGCGGTAGATGATGGCAATGACGAAGACGACGAGCAGACAGAGGCGGAGGCTGTGGCGGTGGGGACCGCTGCGACAGCGGTTGTCGCTGTGGAAGCCGATGATGACGACGAGCAATTGGCCGTGCCTCCGACTAGACTTGGATTCACCATCGGAAATAGCTGCGTAAACGCTGAACCAGGTGTGGTCGGATCAGAAATCACTGGTACAGGCGAATCTTTCAGCAACATGTGAGACGTGTCTACATCAACTAAAGAACAAAAGGTCATAATACATGTCATAACGCATAACACAACAAGCCAGCAGTAAATCAATGAATAAAAATATGGACAACTTCACAATACCCTTTTTTCGGATAACAGGGCACAGAAAGTTTGCTTCGTATAGAATCTGGAATATTCTGCATCATATTCAATTAATGTTCAAGGATATTCAAATACGATCCGAAGCAACAGAATTATGAAAGTTTTCGATCAAATCGTTGAAGACAAACGGATAGAAACTTTATGTGGTGTCGTCCCCTGAAAAGCTGTTTTAACTTTGAAATACATTTGATTCTGTTTTTAAAAGCAAAAAATACCACGGATCTTCTGGTTTAGAACCAAAGCTAGTTTTTGACATCGCAGAATCGTACGACATGTACGACTGGACTTCTAGAAATAAGGCGATGCGATTACGTTGCACAAATTTAGTAAGCCAGTTATAATAAACAGTTTTAAATAAATAATAAAACAAAGTCTGCTGTATTTTCTACGATAATCTCGGAGAAGAATGTTCATTCATTCAGTAGCAGGCAGCAACAGTTGTAGACCATCTTAACTCGCGGTCAACGCCATAACTAGCTTCATCAAAGCTTCAAAATCGGGCAGTACAGTGAATGACACGGTGCTGTTCGTTCGAAAATCTATCTGAATTAATTCTAATTTCTGAAGAGAAACATGACATGATGCCAGAGACCATTACGGTACAGTTTTTTCGGCAAAGTTACATAGAAAGCAGGCAAGCAGAAAACCGAATCAAAATGGATCGCAATGCCATGCAATTTAACAGATTTGCTGAAGTTCAGGAACATTGGAAACATCTCGTGAAGCTGATGCACCTAGTACCTAAGGAAACAGAAAATAAATGACACTTTTATGTCTTCAGACGACGTAACTCTCTCCAGTAGGCTTTGGAACTAGAAAATAAACCAATAGTCGAATATTCATAAAAAAGGAAACGATATGGTTCCCTCCTTTGGCTACTCCAAAATGTAGCTTATGATTCACATGCT